TGTGCCGAAGATGCTTAGGCACGAGCGCCATGCACATGCACCCGAACACCCGAAGCATATCCACCTTTGGCTTCCTTCCTAGCCACTCCACATAGGGCACCCATTTGTCTTCTCCCACATGATTCAAGGCTCTGTTCTTGGCCACACACGCGCTCCGCACCGCATCAGGCCAGAAATAGTCGGGTAGCCCGGCTTCAATGAGCAACCCGCGTGCCGCCTCCGTGATTGTGCGGTTCGCTCGCTCGGCGATGCCGTTCATTGCAGGGGAGTATGGCATGGTGAGGGAGTGCCGAATACCATTCTTCTTCAGCCACAACCCAAACTCCTTGCTCAGGAACTCTCCCCCTCGATCGGTGCGGATTGACTTGACTAGACGGTCTTGTTGCCGCTCCACCATCGGGAACCAATCCGTCTTCAACGTTTCAGCCACGTCGCTCTTCTTGGCCAGCACGTACACCCAAGTCATGCGGGTGTAGACGTCGACAATGGTGAGAAAATACTCAGCTCCAGCAGCTCCAAGCTTCAGGGGGCCCACCACGTCCATCACCACCTCATCAAGCGGTGCCTTTGCCGTTGCCTCCGAACTAGGGAACGGAAACCGGGTGAACTTGGCTTGAATGCACGTCGGGCAGCCAAGCACCTCATCGGGCTCCCCCTTCACACGTATGCCAGCAACCATCTCATTCTTCACTAGCTGCTGCAAGATGGGCAGGGCCACATGCCCCATGCGCCGATGCAAGGTGAGCCAATCACACTCCCCCGTAGCCGAAGTTGGATTGGAGAATGCCGCGCTCGCAATAGCGCCCCACATACTCTCTCCGTAGTCCTCCTCCGCTGCTGCCTCTGGGTTCTCCTCACCCTTTTGCTGCTCCTTGGTTGCTGCACCACTCTCCTTAGGTTCACTGAACTTGCTGGTCCCTCCAGGTTTGCTCTTCTTGAGCTCATTCTCCTTAGCGCGACCGTTCGCGCCATCGTCGCTACCGACCGCTCCATCCTTGGTGCTGATGCTTGCTGCCACTTGCCTCTCCTTAGGCATAGGGACCACTGGGATCTGCCACATCTCGTTGTAGACATCCCTGTCCTCATGAAGGTCCCAAAGAATTCGATCGCCAAGCCTTGCGGTGTAGGTCTTGGCTCCCTTCGAGTTCGTGTCCATGCCGGCCTTTGCCAACCGCCGCACGGAAATCAGGTTTGCAGCAAGGCTGGGCACCCAAAGCACGTTCTTGAGGCCCACCATCTTCCCATCAGCACCCTTGAACATGGCCTTGCCCATGCCTTTCACCTCTGCTCGCTGCCCCAAAGCCGATGTGACATGCTTCACCGGTGACGGCTCGAGTTCGGTGAGCAAGTCCGGGCGAGGTGTCATGCTATAGGTAGCGCCACTATCAATCACCCAATAGTCCAGGGGGTGTAGGGTCACCTTCCCCACAGCTGCTGGCTCCTCAAAGCCTTCATCCTTCTCTGGACCAGCCGGTACTTGCGTCGACACGAAGTAGAATAGACCCGGGTATCGATCGTCGCTCGGGTCCTTGTCGTTGTCTCCGCTCTTCATGTTTGCAGTTCCGCCACCGCGACCGCCACGGCCTCCACGGCCTCGTCCTCTCCCTCCTCCTGCTCCTCTACCCTCTTGGCCTTGAGCAGGGGTCCAACCATCAGGGAGTTTGTAGCAGTCGCGCCACATGTGTCCGCTCTTGTGGCAATAGTGACACTCGCCGTCGAATCGGCCGCGACCGCGTCCGTAGCTCTTGTCGTCGCTGCCGTAACCGCCACTCCTGCGGCCTCCGCCGAAGTTGCTGCCACCAAACCTTCCTCCCCCTCGTCCTCTGCCTCTTCCTCGACCATATCCACGGCCGATGCTCGCTGCCCCAGCGCCATCCGCACTCGCCAACTCACGGCGGCGGAAATCCTCTTGAAGGATAGCTCGCTTCACGTCTTCAAGCGAGAGGCGGGGCAAGTCGCGATTAAGGTTGATGATGAGCGAGGACCATGACTCTGGGAGTAAGGCCAGCAACTTGGTCTTCTTTTGGAGCTCACTGTAGTTCAAATCAGCTCCCTCAAGCCGCGTCAACAAGTCGAAGAATTTCTGCACCCCTTCTTCAACCGCTTCGTCTTCTTCAATTCGTAGTGCCGCCATTTGCCGTTCCAACACCACCGCTACCGCCGCTGTTGCAGGAGCATGTACACCCTTGAGAGCAGCCCATGCCTTTGGTCCTTTCTCTGGTTCACGCTGGAATGGCTTGATGTGACGGATCTGACTGCTCCCCAACGCTTGCCCAAGTAAGAGATAGCCTTGTGCGCTCTTCCGCACCCACGGGCTCTTCTCCGGGTCGTTCTCGGGGCGCTTCTCCGTTCCTTCCATCACCTCCAGCAGGTCATAGTGGTCAAAGATGTTCTCCATCTTGAAGGACCATTCAGCAAAGTTGTCACCGTTGAACTTGTCAAGCCCAAACACCCTAGGCTCATCCCTAGGTGGGCCAAGACTTGGTTGCATGGGCGCCATGGCTGAATCACGGGGTTGGCCTTGAGCTTGAGCTTCTCCACTGCCACCAGAACCTCTGCCACCCCTTTCCTCAGGTCCAGACATTGTCGAAACTGCTCCAAGGGCCTCTGATACCACTTGTTATAGTCACAATAGGCTTGAATGTGCCTAAAACGAAAGATAGAGAGCACAGACGGATTTCTGCACAGCGGCTTCAAACGTTGATAGCGTTCTGCTCACAGATGCAAATTACTTGATTCAAATTGGATCTGGAGCGTCTTCACGTCGTCTAGAATTAGCAATTTAGATTGCACGATTTGATAAAGAATTGACGACACAGCGTCGGTTTGAACGAACGGTACTATGGCAGCCACTATAGTCTTAGAACACAAGATAGGAAGAGTTACGAGTTGGGAATGACTCCCAGCTCCTACAAACCCCAAGAGCCGAGGTACAGTGATGTGGAACAGTGCCACACTGTCCCCAACCACGAAGGGTCTCGAAACTACCCTTCACTAGGGCCTACACCAAGTGAAATGTTACACTACACAAAGTAATGTAACTATCTTCAATATCTTGAGGTGTACCCTTTTGGCAAGCTTCGAAATCACTTGAGGCTTGACACCAAGGCTCGGGCTCTTCATCAAAAACTCATCCTTGAGTTCTTGATGGGTCTGCTGCACACACCTGCGACACGCCGAACGTTCGACACAGGACAAAATAGAAACCGCGCACGACAAAATAGAAACCGCGCGCGAGACACAAACGACCGCGTAACACGCGTCTAGCGATAACTCGCTATTGACTCGACACACACACTCGACATCATGACTCAACATTCACACACAATTATAAGCATGAAATATATATTATCCCATGCCCTCATACCATTCCATACACACACACATTCACGCACACGGACAACAAGCCGAGTGCAAACCGTAGGGTTGCACCAACAACCACGAGAGGCTCCTACAGCGACTATACTCTTCTCAGCTGCAAGGAGGCGCTCCTCAAGGAGGTCAACAGTGAGTGTGGTGGGGCAAATAGAGAGGAAGTGGTCCCTGACCGAGCGAAGGGAGTCAGGGAGCCGGGTGACTAGATAGTAGAGGGTGATGTACATGGGGGGGGGGGTTCTTGGCGCAGAACTCAGCAGGAAGCGCAGCGCGGTAGCGGGTGTCACTAGTGCGGAGGTGCGTAATGAGGTCAGCGACTGTGGCAAAGGCGGCGAGGTTAGGGAACAGGTACGGCAGCAAGTGGCGACTAAGGGCAGCAGTGGCAGGGGAGGAGTAGCGTGCAACTACAGCGTCGTACAGAGTCTTAGCACTCTTGTACTGACTAAAGTGCGCGCGCTCAGTGGACGGTAGGTGACTACGCACAGCAAGGCGGGCAGCAGCATCGCGCGTGGTCCACTGCGAGCGAACAGTACTGTCAGCATCAGCAGCACGGGCAGTAGAGGCGCCAGACGTGAGATCGAACAGTGAGAGGCCATCCTTGCTATCGCACTGTAGGAAAAGCTGCAGATCATCTACCCAGACCTCAAAGTCGACCGCTCGACCCTTAGCATCGAATGTGAGTACATTAGGGTTTGTCATAGCAGCAGGAGCAGCAGCAGTGGCCTAGCTACAGCAGCAACAGTAGCAGCACGACTCGGCAGGGCGGGGCGGTTCGGTAGGGCGGCTCGGCTAGGCCGGGCGGCGCGGGTGCAGCAGCACGCGGGTGCGGCGGTGCACTTACCAGTGGCGGAAGAGGTGGGCCGCTACTGGTGGGGCTGGGCCGGGGCGCGTCAGCAGGGCAGGGGGCCGCCAGAAGGAAGGGGGGCGGGGCCGCGGCGAGGCGGCAGGTCAGAGCCGGGACAGGCGCGTCGGCAGGGCGGCTGCAGGCTCGGCAGCGGCAGCAGGGCCGCTACGGTGGCAGCTGCTGCTGCAGTAGGGACGGCGACGGCAGCTGCTGCAGGGATGGCAGTTGTTGCAGGGATGGCGACGACGGGGCGGCAGGGCCGCTACGGCGACAGCAGGGGCGACGGCAGCTGCTGCAGGGGTGGCGACGACGGGGCGGCTTAGAGCCGCGGCGGGCAGGGGCGACGCCGCGCGGGTCCTGCAGGGGCGTCGCGACGAGGCAGGGGCGACACCCGGGTGGCGACGGGGCGGGGCCGTGACCGGCGACGGGACGGGGCCGCTACGGGCAACGGGGCGGGGCCGCGAAGGGGCCGCGAAGGGGCCGCTAAGGGGCTGCGAAGGGGCAGGGCAGGCCGCTAAGGGGCCGCGAAAGGGTAGGGCAGGGCAGAGCGCGAAGCGCGCTTCGAGCAGGTTAGGAAAAAAAAAAATGGTGGGCCCTTAGGAAGAAACGGTCCCACTAGGGAACCCGCTCTATACCATGTGAAGAAAGAGGAATGAATGAACTAGAACAAGGTTGGGTACAAGTAGGAAACCCTAGGAAACTGTACCCTTTAGTGTCTACCCCACTATAGCCTAGACAAGCTATATGATGAATGTTTGACAAAGGCGCCACGACGGAAGACATGTTCGGGTTCCGCACGTGCGCGCTCGGGAACGTACGCCTCGTGTATCTGCCGCCGAACATGACTTGCTTCACCCAGCCCCTTGACCAGGGGCTCATCTCCATGGCGAAGGCGCGGTACCGCCAGCACAGGCTTCGCGCATTCACCAGCATGTGGTGTGCCGACGGCGCAACAACCGCGGCCGCGCGTTTCAAGCCGAATTTGCGGCTCGTGCTGGAGTGGCTCAGCGATGCGTGGATGAACATTGGGCCCCGAGCCATCCAGCGCTGCTGGTGGCACACGGGATGTCTGCCGCGTGTGTGGGCCTTGTCTCTCCCGCATGTGGAGGTCGGCGACAGCAACAACGGCGGCGCAGTCGGCGACGGGGGGAATGCGGCCGACATCAGCCTCGACAAGGAGGTCAACGATGTTGGCCTCCTCATTGACCGCCTCTGCCTCGGGCCTAGCGCAATGGCCGCCGACGATTTCGTCGGCATCGATGACAACCAGCCCACCTACGCGGAACCAGGCGAGGACCCGCTTGCGAGGGAGCCGGCGACATCAGCGGCAGCCGAAATGTGGGAGGCGCGTGCTAATATGCAGGCTGTCTACGACGACAGCAACCCCGCATCTCGGGAGGCACGGCGCACTGCGCGCGCGGCCTGCGAGATGTTGATTAATTACGCGCGCGCGACTTGCATCACCCCGCGCGACCTGTGCGCTCTCTTCAATATCCGCAATCCAATCATTATTGTGCGGATGGAGCGCGCAAGCCCGCCGCTTGACCTCAACCACGCCCCACCCCCCGCCGTGACTCATGCCGACACCCCGCCGCCTGAGACTCCTCGTCGCCGCGGTCGGGTGCTTCCGGCGTGGATGCATGTGCCCACCCCTTACTGGGTGGCGCAGTCGGCCCGCCGCCAGGATCTCATCGATGCCGGTGCACCTGCCGTCATGAGCAGTTACCTGGCCGCCGCAGAGTGGATGCGGCTGCGAGAGGGGATTTGTACCCCTTAGAGGTGTTGCTTGCCTCCTCTAATGCATCAGATGTACAACTTGTGCACATTTGCAAAAACGGGACTAATGACGGGGAATTTGGGTTGGGTACAAGTGGTGCTGCTTTATTGGGTGGAAGTATGAATGTGGTGTTTGTGACAAGGCAGGGTGTGAAATGTAATGGTGTGTTAATGAAATGGGCGAAAAAAGATGTAACCATGTCTATGAATGCATAACAAACTAAGCCACCCCACACTGTTTAGGGAAAAGACAAGCGTGTTACAACCTCTGCCTTTTAAGCGCACCTGATGGCCGTGGCGAAACCCATGAAGTCGCCGAATTGCCAAAATCGCTTATAAGCCCAAAGCACAAGGCAACGTTGGGGGACAATCACGCGCATCGGGTGTATTGCCAGACACCCCTTGGCTAGCTTTAGTGTCGCCCAGGCACACCCCACCAGCCCCTGCAATCACAGCTCCTGATAGTTGACTTCAGTAGTCGCGCTCTGGTCTGGGCGTACTTATTAGCCAGGGCTCTCGCTGCCCTCGCGTCATCGCTGTTGGTCTCACTTACCGCCTTCTTCAGTCGTTCCCCCTTAGACCTGATTGGTTTCTCCTAATCATGAGCAATTCAGATCGGTCTCGAAGCTAAATGGTTAGCTAAACTGGTCGTTTGCTTATCATGGACCCATCGGCAGCGGGTTGAAATTCCACCCAGTTCAACCCAGCTCCACCAAGTTTTACCCAGTTTTACCACCTTACACCGTACTCAGTAAAGCTTTACCGCTTCGAATCCTCCACATTCTTCCGCATCGGCCTCGCCAGTCATGGAGCCATCGGCAGCTGAGTTATCGCGGCCGGACTCGGCGCGCAGCGCGTGGCACTGGATCGAATTCGTTCTCTTCCCCGCAAAGCTCGACGAGCATCTCGCGCTGCTGGAACAAGGCGCTACTCGCGCGCCGTCGCTCGTCGCTCTCATCTCCACATTCCTCGAACAGGTCAGTTGTTTGAAAACTCTGAACAGGCCTAATTAGTAATCAGGTCGGTTCACTAACTAAAGGCTCGCCTCGCCACACAGTGGCCGTCGCTCGTCGCTCTCATCTTCACATTCCTCGAACAGGTCAGTTGTTTGAACAGGCCCAGTCAGCTCAGGTCCGGTTACTAAATAAAGGCCCGCCATACCATAGCCGTCGCTCATCTCCACATTCCTCGAGCAGGTCCGTCAGGTATCGCCCAGATAGGCCCAGCCAGGTCAATGCAGGCCGGGTCAGGTTGGGTTGGGTCAGGTCGGGTCGGGTCGAGTTGGGTCAGGTCGGGTCGGGTCGGGTCGGATCAGGTCGGGTCTGGTCAGGTCGGGTCAGGTCGGGTGAATCTTTGAGGCAGCTTATAAGATGGCTGTCGCTTCTCACGCGCTAGTCTCCACATTTCCCCTTCCCTCGCCTACTCCCATTCCCGCTCCCTTCCTCCCTCTTCCTCTCTCCCTGTCTTCTTCTCCCCAACCCTTTCAGTGTATCCCTCCTTCCATCGTTTCTCATCTCCGCCACTCCCCCCCACTCCGCGCCCCTCCCCACCCCCAGGCGGCGCAGATTCAGAGGCTACAGGCACCCGCGGAGGGGGAAGGGGCGGAAGCAGGTGGGGGGAAAGAAGTGGGCGCACCAGAGAGTGGGGGAGGAGGGGCAGGTTTGGGGAATGGTGTTGCTGGGAAGAAAAAGGGGAGTGCAGGCGAAGAAACTCCTGCATTGGTTAAGCACGGGGAGGGAGGAGGAGGAGGAGGAGGAGGAGGAGGAGGAGGAGGAGGAGGAGGAGGAGGAGGAGGAGGAGGAGGAGGAGGAAGGGGGGGGGGGGGGGGGAGGAGGAGGGGGAGGAGAAGGAGGGACAGCAGGAGATGGAACACCCATGAGATCACCCCCCAACCAATCAGAAGTCACTATCATGGCTCTTTGCCGATTGGTCGTCCGTGCTGCCGTGAAATCAAGTCTCTCGCTCCCTTTGATCGAAAAAGATTTTCCCTTTATGCATCAGATGCCTCTGCTGCAGCTGCTCGTGCTGCTGGACGATCCGAGCCGTCGCATCGTCCGGCAGTGCAATCTGCACCGTTGGTTCTTACGCGCTTGTTTGGACTGCCCGGGCGGTGGTGCAAAAGTTTTGGGTGGCGAAAGAGGAGAGGGAGAGTCAGGTGGCTTGAAAGGGGGAATTGGGGGAGGTGATACAGGCGGGAGGTATGGTGCTGGGGGGTTGGGAGGGGTGGGAATGGGTGGAGGTGGATTGGGAAGAGGAGGACAGGGGGGTTGGGGAGGAGGAATAGGAAATGGGGGAGCGAGAGGGTTTGCTTCTGGGAACGCTGCTGGTGGTGGTGTGGGTGGTGTGGGGGGGGGTATGGGTTTTGGTGCGAATGGGGGTATGGGTGGAGTGGGGGGAATGGGGGGTACGAAGAATTCAGGGGCGAATGGGAAGAGTAGTGTGGATGTGAGGAGGATTGCCCCGTTGCTCTGTCCTTCTGCTTCGGCGGCAGACCTAGATGCTTGGCTCGGGCTAGCTGACGAAGGAGGATCGGTGCAGTTCCTAATTAGGGTTTCGGGGTTCGAGAAAGGAACAGGGGAGGAAGGAGGGGAGGCAGGAGGAGAGGACGGAGGAGAGGAGGGAGGAGAGGGGGGAAAAGGGGAGGGAAGAGGGGAGGAAGGAGGGGAAGGAGAGGATGTGGAAGGGGAGCAAGGGAAAGCCAAGCAAGGGGTCCAAGCAGGAGAGAGGAAAGTGAGTGGGTCTGATAGGGGAGGCGTCAGCAATGCGGGAGGAGCAACAGCAGGGGAAGGAGAAGAGGAAGGAGAAGAGGAAGGAGAAGAGAAAGGCGAAGAGGAAGGAGAAGAGAAAAGAGAAGAGGAACGAGAAGAGAAAGGAGAAGAGAAAGGAGAAGAGGAAGGAGAAGAGAAAGGAGAGGAGGAAGGAGAAGAGAAAGGAGAAGAGAAAGGAAAAGAGGAAGGAGAAGAGGAAGGAGAAGGGAAAGGAGAAGAGAAAGAAGAAGGAGAAGAGAAAGGACTGGACGGAGGGGTTTTGAGTGGGGGAAAAGAGGGGGATGGGAAGGAGGGGGCTGCCGTGCCAGGGGCAGGGGCAGAGGCAGGGGCAGGGGCAGTGGAAAGGGAAGGGCCAGGTGAGGAAGCAGTTGGGGTTGAAATGGAAGGAGAGGAATGCACAACGACAGATATGAAAGTCCAATCTTCTGGTTCTCCTCCTCCTCTTGCTGCAACCGGCGCCACTGCTGCTCCTGCTGCTCCTTCTGATGCTGCTGCTGCTGCTGCTGCCAGTCTTCCTCACGTCCCTTCCACTCCCGAGGTTGTCCCTGCGTTGCCTCCCCGGTTGCAGCAGCTGGTGTGGTTCGACCTGGGGGAGTATCAGTTTGCAAGGGGGGATATTTGGGAGGCAGCCCGGTTGTTTGCCGCGTGCGAGGCTGGAGCGAGGAAGGAGGGTGAGAGGGAGCGGGTAGGGGAGGGGGAGGGGCATGGGGATGGGGATGGGGATGGGGATGTGCATGGGAAGGGGGAAGGGGGCCGGTTGGAAAGGGAAGAGGGCGAGGGTGAGGGGGAAATGAAGGGTTTGGGAAAGGGTGATGGGGATGGGGATGGGGAGGAGGCGATGGGAATGGAGGGAGAGGATGTTGTGAAGGCGAGTTATTGTGAGGCGTCTCAGGAGAGGAAGATGAGAAGGAAAGACGAGAAAGCGGAGGAGGATTTGGAGATGAAAGAGGGGGAGAGCGAGGGGGAGGGAGAGGGGGAGGGAGAGGGGGAGAGGGGGGGAGAAGGGGAGTCAGCAAAGGGGCAGAGTTCTGTAAGAGTGGCTAGTACAGGAGGCAAAGTGGAGGCAGAAGGAGTAGAGGCAGGGGTGGGAGTGGTAAGTGCTGAGTGTAAGCGCGGAGAAGGAGGGTTGGATGTTGGTGCAGGAGATGGGCTGGGGCTTGTAGAAAGCGGGGGAAAAGGAGGAGAGGGAGGAGAAGGAGAAGGAGGAAAAAGGGGGGAGAGGGTAGGGCTTGTGAGTGTGGAGGAAGAGAGTGAAGGCGAGATTGTGAGGGAGCGGTTGCTAGGTTTTCTGGCAGCTTGTGAGGTTATGCTTCCTGCTTCTGTTGTGAGATGGAGGAGGGAAGAGAAGGGAGGGAATGGGAAGGCGACGGGGATGGGGGAAATGAACAGAGGGGAGGGTGCAGAGAGGGGGATGGGCAGGGGAAAGGGAAACGGAAAGGATGAGAGAGAGGAGAAGGGAGAAAGGGAGGAAGAGGGAGAGGGGAAGGGAGAGGGGGAGGCAGGGGAGGAGGATGTGGGATTTGCTCTGCCCTTGAATGCTGCTGCTCAATGTGAGCTGCTGAGGAAGCAGATTTGTGAAGCAGCTGCTGCTCGGGCTACTCGTGCTGCTGCCGCTGGTGGTGCTGGCGCTGCTGCTGCTGCTGCTGCTGCTGCTGCTGCTGCTGCTACTGCTGCTGCTGGTGCTGGTGCTGGCACTGCCGCTGCTTCAGCAGAAGCTAGAGAAGATAAAGCAAGTGGGGGTGTTGGGATAGACGAGCAGGTGCAGCAGAGGAAACGCAAGAGACAGAGAGGTGGCTCTGATTGGAATGAAGGAGCACGCTCAAAGGAAGACACCACAGGGGGACAGGGGCAGGACGAGCAGCAGCAGCAGCAGCAGCAGCAGCAGCAGCAGCAGCAGCAGCAGCAGCAGCAGCAGCAGCAGCAGGAGGAGGAGGAGGAGGAGGAGGGGGAAGGGGAGGGGGAAAAGAGGAAGCAGGAGGAGGCAGATGAAGAGGGGAAGAGAAAGGAGAAGCGGCAGAAGCACGGTGAGCGTTTAATCCCAATTGAACAGCAAGGAGAAGAGGCTGGGGGCGGTAGGCACGATGATGGGGAAAACGGTGGTGAGAGTGATGATCTGGGGGGAGGAGGTGCATGGGAGCTGGAACAAGAAAAGGGGGAAAAGGATGACGAGGAAAACGAAGCATGGGAATGTGGACAGGAGCAGGAGCAGGGGAAGGGGAAGGGGGAGCAGGAGCAGAAGCAGGGAAGGGGACAGGAGCAGGAACAGGAGCAGAGGGACGAAGAGAAGCAGGAGCAGCTACAAGTAGTTTCGCCAAGAGAAGGAGGCAGAGTTTCACCAGGCCTTCTCCCTGCCACTGCTCTCCTGAATCTGTTGATTCAAGACATTCTGTGGCAGAAGCTGCCCGAAGGTTACCGGGCAGCGCTTGAAAAGGATTTTTCTCTGCCCGAAGCCGTCCGTGGGAGAATTTTCGCCGCGAATTTGGTTCACCGGGTTGTTGCTGGCCGGCAGCCCGTGGAAACTTTTCTCGAGTGCTGGCTGGAGAATGATATTCCAGGGCAGTTCGGGCAGAAAAATACCCACCGGAGGGGGTTGCCAAAGAATGTCCTTGTTGTTTTGATCAAGTTGGTTGATTTCTTGGTGAGAAAGCTTGAGGGAAACCCTTCTGGGAGTGTGGAAACATGTGAAGCAGGCAATGGCGTGCCAAGGAGGGGAAGTGACAGGGGCAGAGAGAGGGGCAGAGTTGAGGACTCGATGGCGGTGGAAGCAGAAAGAGCAGTGGTGATAGCAGAGAGAGCAGCGGCGCTCGCAGTGTTTGTGAGCTGTCTGGTGGGCGAAGCATGGGCATGGGGCCTTGCTGGGCGAGTCAGGGGGCTGTTGAGGCGGATAGAGGAGGTGTGGAGGGGCGGGTGTGGTGGGATGGGTGATGTGGAAAGCGGGGAGGGCAGAGAGGGCAGGGAGGGAAGAGAGGGGGCTGAGGAGGATTGGGAGGGCGGAGAGGATGAGGGTGATTGGGCTGTTGGTGGCAGTGTGATAGGGGAGGAGGACGAGGAGGAGAAAGAGGCGGAAGAGGAGGAAGAAGAAGAGGAAGTAGAGGAAGGATGGGCGGAGGAAGGAAAGAGGTCCACGTGGAGAGGCATGGGAGAGCAGATGACTGTAAGGAGACGTGTGGCAGGGAGGGGCATGCAAACTGAGGCACGGGATAGGTTGATAGTGAGGGGTCGAAACGGGAGGTCCTTTGCGGGTCTCGATCTCCCTGCGTTGGCTGTGGAAATGGGTGCTTCTGGGTCTCCTGCAGAACTGGAAAGGTTGGTTGCAGTGATGCTGCTGCAACGTGGTGAGGGTGAGGCTGTGCAGAGGGCACAACAACAGCAGCAGCAGCAGCAGCAGCAGCAGCTGGTGGGGTTACTGGAGCGGATGGGGAAGGGGCTGCTGAGGGCATGGATAGTGGCGGGGGAGAGAGAGGGAGGAGGGATCTGGCGAGAGTGTGGCTCGGATGGAGGCTTGGATGGAGGTTTGGATGGAGGCTCGGGTGGAGGGTTGGAGGAGGGGGGCTTGGGAGAGGAGTCGCAAGGGGTGGCGTACATGGGTCGGAGTGGGGGGAGGAGGAGGGGTGGTGCTGTGTGGAGTGGGGCTGGGGGAGGGGAGAGGGAGGTGCGGAGGAGGGAGATTTGGGCTAGTGCCCAACGAATGTTACAACTGGCAGTTGAAGTGTCTGCTGCTGCTGCTGCTGCTGCCACCTCTTTTGCTGCAGCTCCCACCTCTTTTGCTGCAGCTCCCGATGCTGCTCTGGCTGCTGCTCCAGCTCCTGCTGATGGTGCTGCTGTAGAGGTTCCTGCAGAGACCTATTGGGGCGGCGATGTAGGCAGTCAGGTTGTGCTGTGGGCCATGGGGGGCAGACTTGGGGGTGGGGCAGAGAGGAAGCACGGAGGCGGGGAGTGCAGGGAAGGGGATGGAAAAGCCGGTGTAACGGATTTGGTTGATGTACTGGTGGATGGAGGAGCGGTGGTGGTGACAGTACCAGTGGTTGCTGCTCCTGGTGGTGCGGGTGCTGACACTGATGATGGTGATGGTGCCGGTGATGTTGATATGAAAGGAAGCGAAATGCAGAATGAGCAAGAGCAAGTTCAGGAGAGGCAGAATCTGAAGCACATGCAGCAGCAGCCGCAGCCGCAGCCGCAGCAACCACAGCAGCAGCAGCAAAGCAGCAGTGGTTTGTCTTCTGGGGCTGCTATGTGGTCTAGGGGTCCTAACACGTGGCCTCACCTCTCTTCTCCCTGTGTTGCACCCGATGCTGCTGAGCTGGCTGTGGCGCTCCTGACTAATCAGCAGCGGTGGGGCGATGCGCTGGCACTCTGTGATTGGCTGGAGGGCATTGTTAGGCGAGTGGAGGATGGAAGGGGAAGGGAAGACAGGAGGCTGGTGGTAGGGGCTGGTGAGGCTGAACGGTTATCACCAGCAGCAGCAGGAGCAGTAGCAGCAGCAGCAGCAGCAACGGCAACGGCAGCAGAGGTAGCAGCAGCAGGAGTGGTAGAGGCAGGAGCAGTTGTGGGAATGGAGGAAGGAGAAAGCAGGATGGAAGGCAGGGAACATGGTGTTGGGGGAGAGAACGGAGGTGGGGAAGGGAAGGGAGGCGATGAATCTGCTACAGCAAGAGCAGCAGGAACAGCAGGAGAAGCAGGGGAGAAAGACCTTGAGGGGGTTGCAATGGAAGTGGAGCTAGCAGTAGCGGGGACAGGTGACTCACCTCCTGCTGCTGCTCCTGCTGCTCCCGTGGCTGCCCTTGTGAGGTTGGAGAGTGGAGGGGCGGAGACAGGAGAAGAGGGAGGGATTAGACAGGGGGTGGAAGAAGGGGGAAAGGGGAGGAGAGAGAGGGATAGGAAGGAGAGGGAGCGGAAGGGGTGGGAGAGGGAGTGGTGTGTGGAGGTGGGTGCAGTGGCAGGGGTTTGTCGGGGCCTTTGCAAGCTCATGATTGCTGCTGATGCGTTTCTTTGTGGGGGGAGCGAAGGCGGACGAGGGGGAGGATCGGGAGGAGGAGGAGGAAGTGGAGGAGAGAAGGGAGAGGTAGGGATTATTCTTTCCAAGTCTGTGATTGAAACGGGCAGCAGTAAAGTGAGCAGTAAGTCAGACAGTAAGACAGACAATAAGACAGACAGCAAGCCAGACAGCAAGGGAGACAGCAAGGGAGACAGAAAACGAGACAGCAAGGGAGCCAGCAAGGCAGACAATCACAAAAGCAACCCGGCAGGCAAGTCCGTGAGTGTGAGTGCCGGTGCAGCAGCAGGTGCTACCAGCCAGCCTGGTAACCTGGAGGAGGCTACCAGGCTCGCTGCTGCTAGGCTGTGCTCTGCTCTGGATGCTGCTCTGACTGCCCTTGTTGTGTATGGGTGCCGGGAACCTCGACTCCTACTGCCACTGGGAAAGGAAGGAGAGGTTGCAAAAGGAAATGCTGCTCCTGCTGGTGGTGGTGGTGTAGGAGCAGTGGGAGAAGCCGGAGGGAAAATGGGCGGGGAACTGGGTAGGCAGCAGCTGAAGCAGGTAGGTCCGATAAGTTTGGTAGCGTCCCAGATAACAGCAACAGCGGTAACAGCAGATGCAGCAGCAGCAGAAGTAGCAGCAGCAGAAGTAGCAGCAGCAGATGTAGCAGCAGCATCAGCAGCACCAGAAGCAGCAGCAGCAGCGCCGTCTGTCTCCATGCCTCCCATGGCCCGTCTCCTTCGTCGCGTTCCCCTCCTGCCACTTCTGTCACATCAACGCCTGCTCACGCGCCTGGCCTCTCTGCTCGTGGGCTGGGTGCATCGATATGCCACCCAGGGTGCTGTTGGCACAAGCAGTGCCACCGGTGCTACCAGTGCTACTGGTGCTGGTGCCACTGCTGCCACTGCTGATACCACTGGTGCTGGTACTAATGCTGGTACTTCTTCTGTTGCTGCTGTCACAAGTCCACGGGATTGGTTATTGGAGCTCCCTCGGTTCGGCCTTCTAGCTGCTGTTGCTTCAGGCGTAGATATTTTTGGAGGCAGTTCGGGAGAAGCGGGGCTAGGGGGTAAGGATATGGGGATGGGGGTGGGGAAGGGGCTGGCAGGTGATGGGAGAGGGAGTAGCGGGGGGTTAGGGCTGGATGGGAAGGAAGGGGGCGCGAGGATTGGGGGTGGTGGGGGAGTGGGGAGGGACGGCGGGGGAAATGGTGGAGAGAGGAGTAAGGGTGAGGAGGGGGGGAGTAAGAGGAAGAGGACGAGGGAAGAGAGGGAGGGGAGGAGAGATGAGAAGGAGGGGAAGAGGGAGGATCGGGAGGGGAGGCGAGAGGAGAAGGAGGCGAGGAGGGAGAAACGGAGGAAGGAGAGGGAAAGGGAGAAAGAGAAGGGTAGGCATAAGGAGAAAGAGAAAGATAGGGAGAAGGAGAAGGAGAAGGAAGAGAGGGAAAAGGGGAGGGAGAAAGATAGGCATAGGGAGAAGGACAAGGGGAATGATAGGGACAGAGAGAGGGACAAAGAGAGAGACAAAGAGAAGGATAAAGAGAGGGACAAGGAGAAGGATAGAGAAAAGGAAAGGGATAAGGATAGAAGCAAGACAAAGGGGGAGAAAGGATCTTCTTCCCACAGGCATCGGCACCATCATCACCACCACCACTCAAGTCGCGCCCACTCCTCTCCCTCACACTCTCCCTCTCATTCCCCTTCGCAATCTCCCTCCCATTCCCCCTCCACGTCCCCAGCTCATGTTCCTGCAGAAGCTTCTGCCATGCCTGTGGAAGCTTCCTCTGTGCCCATGGAAGCTTCTGCCATGCCTGTGGAAGCTTCCACAATGCCTGTTGACTCTTCTCCAAACCCTCCTCTGTCAAAGCATGATCAGCCTATGGCCAGCGATTCAGAAGCAGCGCAATCAGCGGCAGCAACAGTAGTGGCACCAGCAGCAGCTGTGGCAGCAAGAGTAGCAGCACCAGGAACAGAAACAGAAACATTAGTGGCAGCAGCAGCAGCAACAGCGTCAACACCAGTAACAACACTAGAAGCTTCTGTCGATCCAACTTCTATCGAAGTGACTTTTGAATCGACTCAAAAGTCACTAGAAGCTTCCCTCGATCCAACTTCTATCGAAGGTGAAAAACCGGCAGAAAGAACAGGAGCGGGAGCATCAAGAAGAGCACAGGAGGAGGGAGGAGCAAGAGCGCAAGAGGCATCAACATCTTCTGCTGCGGGTGGTGGGACGGGTAGCGACCATGCGGAAAATGGCTCACCTGTGACTGTTGGTACTGCCAACACTACTGGTGGTGATGACGCTCGATTCCCTGGTGCTGCAATGGGTGTTTCTGGTGGAAATGCATGTACCACGAATCTTGTTGCTGCTGCTGCTGTTGCTGATGGTGGTGCTGATTCAGGTTCCAATGATTCTGCTTCTTTAGCAGCGAACGAACGAGCAGCGGCAGAAGAACGAGCGTCAACAGAAGGAGCAGCAGCAGCATTAGCAGCAGGAAAAGGAGAAGTTCGGAAAGAGGGTGAGGAGGGGGAGGAGGGTGAAGCAGCTATTGGGGCATCAGAAGAGCAAAGCACGGCCAAGGCAGAAGGGGAGATTGCACCTTCCATTCTCCCTCCTGCTCCTGCTGCTGCTGCTGCTGCTGCTGCTGCTGCTGCTGCTGCTGCTACCCCTGTTCCTGCTATTGCTGCTGTTTCTTCTACCCCTGCCTCTTCCACACCTTCTGCTGCTGCTCCTGCGTCTGCTGCTGCTGGCACTGACATGAGTGGAGGTAAAGAACAAAGAATGGGTGGTGATGACACAAGTAAGGACACACGAGGCACCATGAAAAGTACAGGAGGGGCGAGAGGAGAGGCGCCAGCAGCACCAGCAACAGGAGCAGCAATACAAGCAGGGGAAGAAACACCAGCAGCAGCAGCAGCAGCAGCAGCATGGAAGCACCGGCACTCAAGAGCGCATGTGTGTGTGGGAGCTGGGTTGCTGGAGTGGTTGCTACTGCGTCTGACAGGGGTTGGAAGAGATGGGGGCGCGGCAAGGGCTGTGGGGATGGGAGGGTGTGGAGAAAAGAGGGAAAGCTGGGTGTGGGAGAGCCGGCTTGGGGACTGGGTGCAGGAAGGAAGGGGGAGAGAGAGTGGGAAGGAGAATGGAAGTGGGAGTGGGGGTGGGAGTGGGGATGGGAGTGCGGGTGTTGCTGGTGGTGGTGGTGGTTTTGCACGTGCTGATATGAGCCTATGGCCTGGGGAGGAAGATGCATGGTGGGAATGCCAGCAGCAGCAGCAGCAGCAGAAGCAGCAACCGGCACAGCCACAGGCACAACAGCAGGTGCAGCAGCAGGATCCGCTACTACTGCTGCCACAGCTGCTGTTATCCCAACACCCTAGCCCACACATGCCCTCTCACCAGGTGCTGCTGCCGCAGCAATCGCAGTTGCACCTTCCACATGGCCAGGCCTCCCCAGCAGCAGCAGCAGCAGCAGCAGCAGCAACCACATCACTGGCACCCAGAGCAGGAGCAGCAAGGGCTGCTGCTGGTGGTGGAGGTGGTGGTGGTGGGGCAGAGGCAGAGGGAGAGGGAGAGGAAGAGGCATGGGTGTGGCTGTTGTGCCTTGCAGACGTTGCTTTCAACCGACAGGACCACCTCTCTGCTCTCCGCCTCTACCTCCTTGTCAGTCCCCCTCTCCTCTCCTTCCTGTTGAGTTGAGACATCTCAAGCCCCCTCGTCTTGGGAGTTGTTCATGGTACTTTTGAGGTGGTTTTTGAGGCGCCTCAAAAACCACCCCTTGTCTTTGGAGTCGTTCATGGTACTTTTGAGAATTCTCAAAAGTCCCCCTCTCCTCTCTCTCTCATTCCTGTTGAGACATCTCAAGCCCCCTCGTCTTTGGAGTCGACTCAAAGGTGACTAAAAAGCCACCTTTGAGTCGAAACAAAACCCCCTCTCCGTTGTTCCTGTTCTGAAACGTCTCAATCAAGCCTCCTTTTCAATCCCCCGCTCCCTCTCTCCTCCCAACCACTACCCCTACCCCTCCTTCTCACTCTCTTTCCCCTCGTATATATTTTCTGATTGTTCTATGTCTCCCGTTGTTTCATAACGTGTATTTTCTCATCTTTCCTCGTGCACGTCTGCGCCTTAGCCTGGACTGTCCAAACTCAATGTTTTGAGCCGTCTCTACAGTGAGTCGCATGCATCTTGCATGCATGGTGACTCAACAGTCACACAGTGCATTCATGCAACAGTCTACACGTGTTGCATGCATGCATGCATGCTTACTCTAGCCTAGCTAACTTTCCGCTCTCCTGCTCTCACCCACTCACCCCCTCTCACCCTCTCACGCTGCCCCTCCTCCCCTTGTGCTTGTGCAACAGGTCGGCCAGGCAGCCACACGAGGGTTCTGCCAATTGAAAAATCCCAATCTTTCCTCCTTCCTTCTCTTCACCCCCCTCCCTTCTTGTGCTTGCGCAACAGGCGGGCCAGTCGGCCACTCGAGGGTTCCAGGACAACAACCCTGCGACCGCCAATGGGGGAAGAAGCGGAGGCCTTTTGACACGTCTCAAAGTATTCTCGCCCTCTCACCCTCTCAACCCCTCACCCCCTCACTCTTCCACGCCTCACCACACCCTCCTCTGTCACTCCCTTTGTGTGACAGGCGGGCCGGTCGGCCACGCGGGGGTTCTGGGACAACAACCCTGCGATGGCCAACGGGGGCCGCAGCAGAGGATTTTTTAAACGTCTCAAAAGTAATTTCACCCTCTCACCCTTCCCTTTCCCTTCTCTTGTGCTTGTGCTTGTGCTTGTGCGACAGGCGGGCCAGTCAGCCACTCGAGGGTTCTGGGACAACAACCCTGCGACGGCCAACGGGGGCAGCAGCAGAGGCAGCATGGCACGGCAGGCAGTGCAGGCAACCATCTCCCTCGGCCACTCCCTCCGCTCTCTCCTCCCCTCCATGAATGCACGTGCCAGTGCTGGCTGTGGTGGTAGCGGCGGCAGTGGTGGAGATGGGTCTAGTGGGCTGGGTGGTGCTGGTTTGGATAGCAGTGGTGCTGGTGTGGGGTTGGGAGCGGGAATGGGGAGGGGAAGGGGGAGGGGGATGGTGATGGGGATGGGGATGGGGATGGGGATGGGGATGGGTGGAGGAATGGGAAGAGGGGCAGGCGTTGGTGGTGCTGCCACTGCCACAGCCACTGCTACTGCCACTGCTGCTGCTGCTGCCACTGGTGGCGTTGGCAGTGGTATTGGTGGTAGTGGTGGCAGTGGAGTGAGCAGCACTTGGATGGATACACGTGCTGCTGCTGCTGCTGGTACTGTCACGCTGCCTGCCAATAGCTCGGCTCTACCACGTGTATTCTCACCCTGGGTGGTACGTGCTTCCCTTCCCTCTCACCCTGTCCTCGCTGCGCCTCTTCCCGCTGCGCCTCTTCCCGCTGCGCCTCTTCCCGCTGCGCCTCTTCCCGCTGCGCCTCTTCCCGCTGCGCCTCTTCCCACTGCACCGCTTCTCTCCTCACTTGCTCGCCTCCCTCCCGTCTCTCCATTCACCCCCTTTTTTCCAACTTCATCACGTGCTCGTTTCTCTCGGGTGCTGCACCTCCCTCTTCCCCACTCTCCCCCCTTCCCCCATCCCCACTCTCCCTACTTCCCCCCCCCAATTCAGCTGCGGCGCATGCTGCTCTCAGGGCTGTGGGCGCCAATCTACCAGCAGCCATGCTGTGCCAGCTGCACTGCTTCCCCAGCCGCTGCAAGCCCCTTTCGAGAGCTTTCCACTCCCCCCTCTTCCCCATATCACCCCTCTCCCCCAATCAGCTGCAGCGCATGCTGCTTGCTCCCAGGGCGGTGGGTGCCAATCTCCCAGCGGCCGTGCTGTGCCAGCTGCTGCCAGCGCCACCATACTCTCAGGCCCACACAGTTGCCCCTTTTAGAAGCCCCTTTCGGATCTCTATCCTCTCGCCCCTTCTCCCTCCCCCACTCGCTTTCCTCTCTCCTACCTCATTCAACCCCTTCCTCTTCCTCCGTCTCCCCCCCACTTCCCCCTCCTTCCATCTCCCCTTCCTCTCCCAATCAGCTGCGGCGCATGCTGCTTGCTCTCAGGGCGGTGGGCGCCAATCTCCCAGCGGCCGTGCTGTGCCAACTGCTGCCGGCGCCATACCTGCCTCTCGCCTTCCACCTCCTCTCCTCCTCACCGCTCCTCGACTCCACCACCACGCACGCGTACATCCAGTGCATCTGGGAGGTGAGTCATCTGTAGGGCATCATGCTCAACGAATGCAACATGTATATATATGTTCATATGTACATAAATGTGTCCATATAACAATGCCTGGAACCAGCAGGCGACACATCTACGCTAGCGCTCGTGCTCACGCTTCTCTGATCCCGTTTTTTCCTCCTTGCCCCTTCTCCCTACCCCCAACGACCCCCCCACCCCCATCAGGTGCCTCTGCTGGAGCTGCTAGCCAGTCGCCTGGAAGCAGCGGGCGACACAGCCACTCTCGCGCTTGTGCTCTCCGTGCTCATGGGAAATCTCAATAAGCGCTTGGTCTCTCCTCCCTCCGTCCCCGTTTTTCAACTTAACCCTATCAGGTGCCCCTGCTGGACCTGCTAGCCAGTCGCCTGGAAGCAGCGGGCGACACAGCCACGCTCACGCTCATGCTCTCCCCCTCCCATCCCCCTTCCCCTTCCCGCCCCCGCCCCCCTATCTGCATCAGGTGCCTCTGCTGGAGCTGCTCGCCAGTCGCCTGGAAGCAGCAGGCGACACAGCCACGCTCGCGCTCGTGCTCTCAGTGCTTGCGCTGCCCTCCTGCAACGCCCACAACCCGCCCTTTGTGCTTAGGGGACACGTGCGCCGCTGCTCCCTGCGCTTCTTTCGCCTGCTGGCCTCGCAGCTGGGAGCAGGAGGGGAGTTCAGGGGGTAGCTTTTTTGGGTTACGGTTCCAGGGATTAGGGTTTGAGAGTTTGGGTTTTTTGTTTGGAGGCTGATGTGTGAGCCTCACATTGTCGTTGATAGCTGCTTCGGCTGGGTCTGCTTTTGGTCTGTTTTCATTTGTCTCATATCATGGCGGTTTCCTTGATTACCTCAGCTCTTCTTGGTTGGTTCTCACTTTTAGATCGCTGGGGGGGGATGGAATCGAGTTGTGACACGGTGGTATGTCTCATGTTTTATCACAGAAAATGTGCTTGCGAAAGGGTATTTTCGTAAATGCATTCTAGGCTTGAACTAGGCCTGCATCTGCTCTGCATCCCGACAGATACCTGCAAAAGCATGTCTGATTGCCCACTTCAAGCTTCTGTATCGAAGCTGGTCGAAGCGTGTACGTTCACATGGCCCTTGCCCCCTCATTCTGAACAGCTTGACTCGACTCGCGTCGCGCCACCTTCAAGAGAACCGCCCTGACGAGACAGGCCAAGAAGTAGAGTTTATCCAACCCAACCCAAACTATCGTTAACTGTTTATCGCCCAGACGTCTTCCTTGCAACCGAAAACAGTTGACCTGATCACAGGGCCTTCCGAGCGCCACATCCACAACAACCAGCCAGCGTCGAGGAACAAGAACCGCTGGATCTTATCGTACGGCCCTCGATTGTGCGTCCAACTAACTCATCCCTGAATTCTCGGGTGTCCAAACTTGGAGGTAATTTTTAGCATTCCCGATATTGGACTGGGGAAAAAGTGCAGACTGCGCGGGAAAATTGGTAACGCCTGGCGTGTGACATTTTCTATTTGTTTCGTCCGGACGGCCAACCGTTCGACATTTTTGTGGTCACGAAAGTCGTTAAAAACGCCAGGTTACTCGTAAATTTTTTTAGCGACGTCGTAGGCGTCGTATTGCATCCTTACGACGTCGGTTGCGTCGCAGAGAAACCTTGCGACGTCGCCAGCTTCGTAAGCATCTGGACTTACGTCGTACAACGTCCGGACTTTTTTGCTGTTTGAAAAATGTTACACGCCCTAAATTTGGCCAAGCATGCCGCAAGACTCTAATTCCACTCTCCGGACCGGATGTCGATAGCGCCCATTAGTACAACGCTATACCATAGAAACTTCCTGTCTGCATAGATGTATTTCGAGGCCCCTCAAAGATCTGTAACCACGCGTAAACGCATTTTATCTGTTTTTATTATTTCTCCGACCCTGAACTAGCGCTCCTGGTGAACCAGTCTTCAATGGTCACTGCCACACCGCCTTCTCTATGCACATGACTTCGCGCGCAGGTTCAAACCGCTGCAGCCGAACGCACCTGCACCTGAATCTAGCGTAATGTTGTCAAGATAGGTTATTCGTTTCCCTACTAGAGACTGCGACCCTGGCATAATTCTTCCTCCATTGCAAAAGCGTCAGCTGTCTTGTGCCGCCCTCTTTCCTTCGATACCTCTCTTCCCACGTGTCTCCCTCCCCTCCACCTGCGTACTTCCTTTTCCTCTTTCCGCCTATCTCCTTTCCCCTTTTTCCCGCGTATCTCCCTCCTCCGAGTCTCCCCAGACCTCCCCTTTTCCCGCAAACTTCCTGCTAATGCTGCCAATGTCCGCTTCCGCCTGTTCCGCCACTCTCCTCCCCGCAGCTCTCCCCCGCTGCGCCATCCCCCGGTCCTCCGCTTCCGCGCACTCCCCCGTTCCCTCATCATCCAATCGCTACCGTTCACCTCACGCTCTTAAAAATTCCAACCGTTCCCCCGCATTCCACGGCAACCCACTCCTTCGCCTCAACGCGCCTCGGCTACATTTGAGAAATCTCCGGAGCGACTCCCGTATGTCAACCAACGGCAACGCTTCCGCTGTCGTTAATATCAGCGTGTCTCTTCTCTCGCCGTCGACCTCCCGCCGCCGTGCTGCGCAGTCTCCGCCTCCACTGCTTGCGGGGGCAACCGCCGTCGGCGGCGGCGGCGGAAGCGGCGGCGTGTGGGCGCGCGCGGGCGCGGAGAGGCGCGGAGGGGAGAGTGCGGAAGACGCGGGGCAGGATACCCCTTTCCTAAGCGGAAGCGGAAGGGTGCGGCCGGGGAGTGTCGCGGCATGCGTGGGAACGACGGGCGGGCGCACGCGCCCGTTGACCAGGAGCGCGCGGACAAAGCGGAGAGCGGTCAGGGCGGAGGGGGAGCGGGCGCGAGCACGGGCGCGAAAGAGGATGGGGTAGACGCGGAGCTGGTGTGCGGAGGAGGGGGAGAGGCGGACGAGCATTTGTCGTCTTCTGGGCGGACGTTGGGCAATCTGATCATATCCATCGTGGGCGCAGGTGGGCGGGCGGATGGGTAGGTAACAGGGTAACAGGGTAACAAGTGTAACAGGGTTGCAGGTAACAGCCGTTGTCAGTAGCAGCCTAGCAGATGGCAGATTCCTGTTCCACCGCCCTCGTTCTATTTCGGCCTTGTTGTTTTACCCCGCCATATGGAGCAAAGGGGGCATAGAAAGAATCATTTCGACCAGTCATCATGGCTTGTGTGTGACTACTGGTCGAATTATGTATGTCTTCCACCCCCTCTTTCTTCCCTCTCCCGTCTCCCCCCCAGGCGTGCTGGGCCTGCCCTATGCGTTCATGCGCTCGGGCTGGCTCGTCTCCCTCGTTTCGCTGGTAACCACAACTGCTCTCACCCACCGCGGCATGCACCTGCTGCTCTTTACGCGCCTCAGAATTTCTTCCCCCCCCCCTCTCCCCGTCTCCCCCCCAGGCGTGTTGGGCCTGCCCTATGCGTTCATGCGCTCGGGCTGGCTCGTGTCGCTTGTCTCTCTCGCCGCCACGGCTGCTCTCACGCACCGCGGCATGCACCTGCTGCTCGCCGCGCGCGCCCTGCAGGAGGACTGGGAGACGGAGCAGCAGCAGGCCAGGCTGCTGCCGCAGCAGCAGAAGCTGCCGGAACAGCAGAAGCAAATGCAGACGCAGGAGGCAGAGATAGGGGGAGATGGTAGGAAGGAGGGTGTAGAGCAGCAGCGGGGAGGTGGAGGAGAGACGGATTCGCTGCTTGTCAGAGCAAGCACCGACCCATCAACACCACCAGCAGTACCGTCTGCACCAGCAGCTGCAAAACCAGCAGATGAAACAGGGCAGGCTACTACCACCACCACCAGCAGCGCCATCACCAGCAGGGCGGGGGGCAAGGTGCGGTCGTATGGGGACCTGGGTGAGCGGGTGTACGGAGCGGTGGGGCGCGGTGCAGTGGATGCCATGGTGCTGGTCAGCCAGGGCGGCTTCTGCGCTGTCTTCCTGGTGTTCATGGGTCACAACGTCGCCAGTGTGCTCTGGGGCTCTACCCTCGACTCCTCCCTTGTCATCGCGGTAATAGGTGAGTTGGGGGGTTGTGTTACGGGTGGTTACCACCTGGAAGTGGGGTTGGTTGGCATGTGCGGCTTCTGCGCTGTCTTCCTGGTGTTCATGGGGCACAACGTCGCCAGTGTCCTCTGGGGCTCTACACTCGACTCTTCACTTGTCATTGCAGTTATTGGTGAGTTGTCGATGGTAGGGTTACCACCTGTGGGGTGTGGTTGGCATGTGTGGCTTCTGTGCTGTCTTCCTGGTGTTCATGATTCCCAATGTCGCCAGTGTGCCCTGGGGCTCTACGCTGGAGTCTTCACTCGTCATTGCAGTCATTGGTGAGTTGCCACAGAATGGTTGTGTCACAGAGGAGGGGAGTTACCACGTGGGGGCTGGTATTCATGTGCTGCTTCTGTGCTGTGTTCATGTGTCACAACACAACGTTGCCAGTGTGCTCTGGTGCTCCACCCTCCGCTCCTCCCTTGTCATCGTCACCATCCATGGGTTGCCATTGCTGGGTTACCAACTGTGCCATCGCTACCTGTGTACGCATGTCCTCACCACCTATACCATACCCCCACCACCCATACCCACACCACCCATACCCACACCACCCATACCCCCAATACCCATCCTCCCACCAGCCTCATTTCAGATCATGCTGTCGTGGCTGCCGTCCCTCACCCAACTCGCTCCTTTCAGGTGCGCTTTTCAACCCAACTCAACCCAACCAAACCCAACCCAGTCTAGCGCATCTCTTCACAGCCTCTCCACTCAGCAGCAGACTTCCTTCACCTGAGGTTGTTGTTGAGAACCCTTTTGAGGCTGCCTCACATGTTGAGAATGCTTTTGTCACCATCACTTCCATCACTTCATTATGCCTCTTCTTTCTTTCCCTCCCTTCATATCTTCCTCTATAATGGTCTTAGATATCTCAAAACTCTGCCTCCCACCCCTCTTCACCCCTCTCCACCCATCTCCAACACCCAGCATATTCGCCAGCTGTGTCAACCTCTGCGCCTCCTCCCTTATCATCTATCTCGGCCTTCATTCCTTTCAAGGCCTCGACTCCCTCTCTGCCTTCACAACCCTTCCTGTTTCCCCTCTTCCTCCCTCCCCACCCGCCCCCATCCCTACCCGACCCATCCCCACACCTCTCCACCCCTTCCCACCACCCAGCATATTTGCCAACTGTGTCAACCTCTGCGCCTTCTCCCTGGTCATCTACCACGGCCTCCATTCCTTTCAAGGCCTCGACTCTCTCTCTGCCTTCACAACCCTCCAAGATGCACCCTTTGCCTTTGGCGTGGCCACCTACGCACTCAACGGCGCGGGCATGACTCTCTCAGTCGAATCCTCCATGCGTAATCGCGCACAGTTCCCCACCGTACTCGCTACAGGCCTCTCCATCATCTCGGTATTATACGCCGCCGTCGGCACGGCCGGGTATTTCGGGTTCGGGAACAAGACAAAGGAGATTGTGACACTGAATTTGCCGCCCAGGTGGCAAAGCGTGGCAGTGAAGCTTGGCGTGTGTGTCGCTCTGTTCTTCACTTTCCCAGTCATGATGACTCCAGTGCATGAAATGGCAGAGAGGTATATCTCCTCCTCTCGAGACATATACAATAGCTTCCTCTCCCCCTCCGTTGCTCCCTCCCGCCGCCGGCTATTCGTCTGCTTCGTCCGCTCCCTAACCGTGCTTTTCATTGTGCTGCTATCGGTGTCGGTGCCACATATTGGCGCGTTCATCTCCCTAATAGGCTGCAGCGTTTGCTCTGCGCTGGGGTTTGTCGTTCCTGCACTGTTTCACATGAAGGCTGCTAGAGGGAAGTTGGAGACTTCTGCAGTGGTGGTTGATTGGTTCCTGGTAGGGTTTGGTGTAGTGTTTGGGGTATGGGGCACTTGGAATGCGTTGCAGCAAATGCTCGTGTAAGCAACAGTGGATGCATGACGGACTGGCGTTTATTCTTCCTATAAAACCTTTGCATGTGCAAGCTCGCATTGTGGTCGATACAATGCAGAAATAAGATCTACTGGTGAATTTATATTCTCAAGCTAGTCATTTGAAAGGCTGGTATGGTAGAGTATGTTGGGCTGAAAAAGGTCCTTAGGATCGTTCAAAACTAAACTCTCGGAGTAGTGATGTATTTAGCGGAAGCGTAATAGTGGATTGAGTGAACCACCTTGTACTAGTATGTGAGAACAAGATGAATTGACAAAAGCAAAGAGTTACAAGGATATATATATGATTATAAGGAATACGAAGGGTTTAACTGTAACTACTGTTGCGGTTCGATACAGCAACGACTTAGGTAACTGTTCAATAACGAGTCAGTTTTTTGTCCTTGCTGTCGCGCTGCCTTAGTCAAGTCAAAGGTCGCTGACCTTTGACCTTCGCTTCAACCTCCTGCTGTTGTCGCCTTGTCAACCGATTTGGTTGACTCGGTGTTGCTTCGCTGTGAGCATGCTTCTCTTTTGTTAAAGTGCTTGATACTTCAGAAGCGCGAACTATATGTTTCCAACACTCCTCTTCGCTTCTGGAGTGTCGTCGCCTTTGTTGCTGGTGACGTGGCCCTGTCCAGTCAGCAGCATGCAGTACTCGAACTTCTGCTTTCCAAGTTTCTTGGTTGGGTAATCTGCTGCCATCTCGGACGTGGGGCAGTAGGATAGCTCGAGTCTCCCTTTCTCGATCTCGTCCTTCACGAAGAAGTAGCGTAGGGCAATGTGCTTCGTTCGGTTCGCGAACCCGCTCTTGTTCGCTATGCGAATTGCAGATTGGTTGTCGCAGAATAGGGAGAAGTTGGGTAACTGAGCCAGCTTTGCTTCTTCTAGTAGTTCGCGAAGGTACAGTCCTTCCTTGGTGGCTGAGCAGAGTGCTATTCATTCGGCTTCAGCAGAGGGGAGTGCAATTAGTTCTTGTTTGCTCGACTGCCACGAGATAGGTCCGACGGGCTCAAGTCGATAGATGTAGCCGGTGCACGATTGCCTGTTGTCAGAGTCGCCTACGTGGTCAGCGTCCACGTAGCCGATTAGCTTTGGAGTAGTGGTTCCGGTCTTGTGGTAGGTTAGGCTGATCGTTGGCGTGCTGACGAGGTAGTGTAAGGCGCGGTCGAGTTCGGCCATATGTTCTGCTTCGGGCCGCTTGAGGTGGGTAGCAAGCTGAATTGCTGAGTATGATAGATCCGGACGGCAGGTGACGGCTGCGAAGAGCAGATAGCCCAGTTTTCATTGGTAGTCGCGTAGGCCGGCAAGTCCAAGCAGGTTGGATTTTTCCTCGTGATTTCCCGCGGTGTAGCGGTAGGGCATTGAAATGGAGGTTGGCGTTAGTCCAAAGCGTTTTGTGATGGTGTCGGCGTATTTTGCGGCGCTGAGGTAGATCGCGTTCTCTCCGTCTAGAATGTTGAGTCCAAGGTACTGGGTCACGGTAAAAGAAACCGTGAGTGAGAGATCTTGTTGCAGCTCCCCTTCAAACCAATTGGTGATGCCATCGCTGGAGCCTATGTAGAGTAGGTCGTCTACATACACGATGAGTAGAATGTACTCGGCTTCCTTTGTGAGTCTGTGCATGCCCTGGTCGTGTGGTAGTTGCTGAAAGCCGATGCAAATTAATCGGGCGTGTAGGTACTGCTGCCACAGCCACGGAGATTGCTTGATGCCGTACAAGGATTTCACCAGCTGACAGACTTGATTAGGGTCTGTGTTGGATCTGTGTGGTTGCTCGACGAAGATTTCTGCGTCGACGGGAGCGTAGAGGAACGCGTTAGCTACGTCGATTTGGCGGAGCTTCTTCTGCTTCATGGCGGCTATTGCGAAGAGAATTCGCAAGGAGGTATGTCAGCTGTCTGGAGCGAAATTCTCGGTGAAGTCTTGCACGTGCTCTTGATCGAAGCCACGCACGACCCCTCGAGCTCTGAATTTGTCGATTGTCCCGTCAGCTTTCGTTTTCACGTGAAAGACCCACTTTCCCGTGAGGACGGTTTTGTTGCGTGCCACTCCGATGGGTACTATCTTCCAGGTGTTTCTATCTTCCAGTGCTTTTAACTCCATGTCCATGGCTTCTCGCCATTTTTCCTTGTGCTCCCCCACCAGAGCCTGCTGAACCGTGGCAGGCTCTCTCGACATTGGTGCGCCATGGACTGCGGTGACGAGTCCAAGAATCTGCAGCCCACTCTGTCTGTAGCGAGGGAGATTTGGGTCCTTAGGATAAACTGCTTCGTCTCCCGCTTCTGGATCAGGTAAGAAGTTGGGGCCTATGCGTTCTGAAACGTTTGTCTTGACCGGCTGTGGTGTAACGTGCCTGTTGTCGGCGAAGTCGTAGTAGACTTCGGCGTTGATGCTTTCGCGAGGATTTTCGTCGTCCATCGGAATGGGTACCGCACAGAAGGGAAGAGGTCCAGCTTCCTCCGATGCTCCGTCCACGTTTTGTTCATCCCAGTCAGCCTCATCTGCTGGCGAGGCGAAGGCTCAGTTGCCACGGAAGCCGCCCGTGAGGTCTCGTTCTGCTGCCAAGTTGTCCAGGTACGTTTGGAGAGTGAGTCGTTCGTAGAAAATCACATCACGTGCTGCTACTATTTTCTTCGAGTGGACGTCGAAAATCTTCCACGCGTTGTAATGTTTTTCGATGCCCATGTGTAGTCCCCACTGTGCACATTGTGAGAATCGTCCAGCTCATGCAGTGTGTGGTCGCTACTGTACCATGCAGCCAAAAACTCGTAACATTTTTGTATCGCCCAATTTTCCTGTCCACAGCAGATGCGGTGATGCGTTGTTCGGAAGCGAGGATGACGAAAGCAAGTTGTGCAACAGCACTGCGTGGTCCATCGCCTCAGGCCACTGATGGTTGGGTAGCCGCATGCCACGTAGCAGCTTGCGCATGACAGTTCTGGAGGGTCCTGTTCATTCTTTCTGCCATGCCTTGCTGGTGATGAGCGTAGGGAAGAGAAATGAGTCGCTTGATGCCTTTCTCCGCCAAGTATTGCTTGAATCGCTGTGACTGATATTCTCCTCCTCTGTCTGACTGAAAGCTTTTCAGCTTCGCTCCTGATTCTCTTTCTGCTACGAGGAGCCAAGCAACGAATGCTTCGAAAGCCATGGAGCGACACGGAAGGTTGAGGTGCCAGACGTATCTGGTGGCGGCGTCGATGAACGTGATTACGTAGTTGTATGCTCCTTGTCCGCTTTCACGGCTGTACAGTATGTCGCTGTAGACCTTCTTCAGTGGTGCGTATGCTAACGCGCTTGGGTTGTGGTGAGAGACGAACGGCTGATGGGGTAAGTCGGCTTCAGGGCAGGTAAAGCAGGTTCCGCGGACTCGTTGAAGTTCTTTGCCGTCGGGTAATATTAGTGAGTGTTTATCAAGCACTCCTGCTCTTATCGTGTTGTTCAGAGTCGTGTTGCTTGGATGTCCTAACCTTTGATGCCATAGTGATTCGTCGGCGCGATGTCCAGGTGAACGTCTCTACAGATCGGAGTTGGAGTAAAAACTTGCGGAGATGTTGGTGCTTATGTTAGCTTCGCGTGGGGCGGGAGTCAGTTGTTGAGTGGGTGTCGGTGCTGATGAAGAGCTGGCGAGTGGTGCTGGTGCTGTTGTTGTTGCTTCTGCTTCTGTTGGTGTTGCTGCTGCTGCTGTTGTCTCTGCTGCTGTTGTCTGTTGAATCACTGCTAACGCCCCCGTTCTGCTTCAGGTATGGTGTGCGAGTACCAGAAACCTCCGGGGCTGAAGTCTGAGTCAAGATCTGGTGGGTGCGACCAAGTGGTGAAGTTGACGATCGCGTCGCTGTCGGGAGTTCCTTGATCTGGGACGAAGTCGAGAACAAAGACGTTGTTCTTCAGGACTGCCTTCCCCATGTTAAATCCTCCCTTCCCGTTGTACAGCTTGAACTCCTGAGTGGTGCTGTTGGCTTCAAGGTCAATCCCTTTTGCCATGAGCTGGCTGACGCTTAGCAAGTTGTAGCCCAGTCCTTCTGCAATCAAAACCTTTGACATATGTAGAACAACGTTAGTCTCGCGGGACTGAAGTTGAACTATTCCTTGTTGTCGTGTGCGCATGTTCTGGTTGTTGGCGACGGTGATCACGACTTCCCGGTTGAGGCGTTGTTTCCATCGAACGAAGCGATTTGACGAGCACGTGTGTTGTCCGCAGCAGCTGTCTAAGAACCAAGTATCTTGACCGGACGGTTCGTTCTGTACGATAGCCGCGTATGTCGGGTTTGGTTGTAGCGATTCACGGCGAGGCGTACTTTCGTCAAGCAGTTCTTCTGGTGAGTAGGTCGTTGATGAACCAGTGATGCAGGAGTCCATTCTTGTCATGCAGCTTATGATGTTTCTTGTTCCTTGTGCAGGTTGTGACGTTGTCGATGAAGGTGGCGCCTGATTCAGAGGATGTTGCTGAGTGGAGGTCACTTGACTACTTGAAGGTCGAAGCTGACGTGGTGATGGAGTCGATTGCTGCTGATTCGGGAAATTGATGCGAGGGTGTCCTGACGTTTGGCAGAGATGACAGAACGGTGGTACGTATCTTCGTGCTTAATGCTCTTGTTGTCGGTTGTTGTTGTTGTTGTTGCGCCACTGAGTGTGGAAGGCGAATTCCGGTGCTGATCCTCTTTTTCCTTGTCGTTCTTCTTGCATGTCCATGTCTTGTTGTTCGGCATGAATTTCGGTGCAGAGTTTTGCTTCGGAGATTCTTCCGTGGGCTCGGAGGATGGCTCGAGTGGAGCAACACTTAGGACCAAGACTTGCGATGACGACAGTGACGAACGTTTCTTCGGATATTGATCCTCCACATCGAAGGAGTCTATCACGCAGGCCGCAGCAGTGACTGATATATGCCATTCCCTTTTTGTCAGGTTGCATTTGAACCGTTGTTAATTGCGCCATGAGACGACTTTGATTGACGCTGTCGGTTGCTTGATACATATTCTTCAGGTGGTTGTA